GGAAAATACTAGGTTTTTTTATCCAAATACATATCAGGACTGTTCCAATGTCAATTTGTTCCACTATCATGCAGCCGAGACAACATATTTAAAGTAACACTTTGATATTTTAGAGCTCTGCAAACATTTCATTAAAAATGATGCATAACAAAACCTTTAAATCCCCAACTTGATTATTTCTTCCTATCGTTTATTGGTTAGTTTTCAAACTTTTGTTGGTTGGTTTTGATTATGTCCCATTATATCCTTACTCTTCCACCTCTTTTGTCTTGCAACACATGTTGTGTATTGTCCTGCACTGGCAGTGTTACCACTTATGCACATCAAATCCTTCTTTATCATTCAGTTTGAAAGTTTTCAATTTGATGTATTTTTTCATACCGCGATATATATATTGCAGGAAACATTTATTGCCAAGCCGTACTAACTCTCGTGGACAAATTATTTTTGATTGGACTAGATATACATATATCTTAGGAACCTAAATATACAAGAGAATTACAAAAATGATGTTTATTTACCTTTTGTTATTTTCTCTAGTTCTACCCCTTCTGTCTTTTAACACCATGTTTCCACACCATTAACCATTCAGTCAAATGTCATGATTTATTGCAACCTATGGAGACATTTAAGAACCAAGAAGCATTTCAATTTAAAATGCATCCCGGCAGCCGAATGTTTTTCATTCCAGCTCTGCTCTCCATAGAAACACAAGCAAACAGCCAGCCAACAAACTCAAACAGTCATTTGTCTCAGGAAAGCAGCTCCTTTATACACCGTTTGTTTCTCACCCACACACACACAGGCATGTCAATAAAGATGCATAATCTCAGTGATGAATGGTGGACCAGCACACACACTAACATGCCTTTAATCACACTAAAGGTCACTTCCTGTGTCTCCACAGCATCAAACTTTCCCTTAGTAATAAGAGGCTGCAGGTACACCTGGAGAGGAGGGGCTGCTGGGTAATTAATCCTCTGCTGAAATGTAAAACTGTGTGAGCTACGAGGAAAGTATGTCAGCTATTGTTCAGACGCGCTGGATGCCTTTCTGTTTCATTAAACATAACCTCCGGCACTCTCCTTCTTCTTCTCAGTGTTACCCTTTTCTTTGTGCTCTTGTTGTTAAAACACGCTCGACAAAAGACGCCGTGGCCTGTGGGGATTCATGATCAGACGAATAAATTAGCAGAGTTTGAGCTGTTTTATGCTAAAGTTTCAGCATACATCTGGTATTTAATCACTTTTATCTGCATATAAAAAGTTACAGACAGTCATTGAAAAACAATTTCAGTTAAATAAGTTCAGAAATGGTTTCCAATGCACTATCCTGCAATGTAAAGCCATGTGCTTCACTAGGGTCATTTTTGGCTTTCTGAATCTTCAATCATTTTGAACACATATGGTATATCATTTGGACAGGTGTGACTTGTTTTTAAGGCTCTTATGATGATAAGTCTATGATAAAGTCTGTATCAAAAATACACACAATAAGGGCCGTTAGGACAACAAGTCCCTTTACGCATGTCCTCCCCTCTCTATCTCCAATAATGGCTAATATGCCCAAAATATCTTTCAAAGGCATTCTGAACTTGGAGTAAATGTTACACCATGCTTACAGCATTAAATATATAAATACCAGCAACATTTAAGACATTTCAAAGACATTGTAAGGGATTATTTTACTAAAAGTGATTAGACTTTTAAAGGTAAATACATTTTTTAAACTGTTGAGTTTATGTGAAGTTAAGGCATTTTTTAAACTGTTGAGTTTATGTGAAGTTAAGGCATTTTTTAAGTCTATTAAAGTCATTCCTTTTTAAATGTGAAGTTTAGACATTTGTAATGCTTTTTAAGGCATTCTAATGTGTAGTTAGGAAAATGAAAGTCTATTTGGGGCATTCTATAAGTAAATGTTAAGATACAACATTTGTAAGACCTTTAAGGTATTCTATGAGTAAAGGAGGAGACACTTTGTAAAGACCATGGCCACCCTGCAGAAAGCTGTCTAACAGAAACTCCTGATGATCTGACAGCAGAAACATGATATAAAAGTGAGCCGTGTCCCTGTCGGCAGACTGACTGTGTACAAACATGATCATACCACAGGGGGAACACTGGAGGATTGTGGGAAGTTTCTGAGTTATGGAAATTGTGATTACACTTGTGAGGCGGAACACTGATGAATAATGAAAAACATTTTCTTTACTGTCTGAGATCCAGCGTCCCTGTGGAGGCTATTAGCCCCAAAACACAAGCACACAACTTAAAATAAAAAGGGATTCACTCTCTGGCAGAAATATATCTTCAGCAGTGAAGAGAAAACAACAAAAATTGCGCAGAATTAGTTTGTTGGCAGCTGTTTAGAAATGTCTCATGTGGTTGTGTTGGTTTTAGGGATGCAACTAACAATGATTTGTATTAATCTAATTGTTTTTAAATTATAGATTAGTTTTGTTTCTTAAATGTCAGAAATTGTGAAAAATGTTCATCCCAGTTTCTCATAGTTCAAGCCTATGTCATTATATATATTGTATTGTTAACGCAATAAACAAAGATGTTATACCTCAATATGAAATAAGACAGAGAAAAATAGCAAATTACATATTTGAAAGGGTGAAAAAGCCTTATCCATTATCCACCCTTATCTTAATGATTAGACACTACATTTCTGTTGATTGACTTATCATTGCAGCTGTATTCACTGTGTAAAGGAAATAAAGGTTGTGTCTGTATTTAAAGGCACCATGTTTTGCTCATTTTTAGGTTTAATGTTCAAAAAGCTCTTTATTGTTCTCATACTGCAGCACCTTTTTTCACCCTCTGTCTGAAACCAGAGCCCAGTCTGCTCTGATTGGTGAGTTGGGCGGCTCTGTTGTGATTAGTCAACCACTTACAGATGTCCCGCCACTAAGCCTATCACGTACAATGTGTTTGAGTGCTAGCCAATAGAAGTGCGGGAAAATTGGAAAAGTTGCCGATTATTTTCTGTCAACAAACAAAATTTGGCAAATGGTGAGAATGGTCAGTTTGTTTCCAATTAATTTGGAAAATGTCAATAAAGAGTAAGAAATGTCATTCCCAGTTTCTCATAGCCAAAGGTCTTTCAATGTCTTGTTTTATCAGTCAAAACAGCAAAGATATAAAACAGTGAAAGCAGGAACTCTCTGAAGATATTTTCGCATCAAGCACTCACTCAAAAACTGGTGTTTATTTTCTTTTGGAGGGACTAATCCCTGCAGCCGCAGCACTCCACAGTATTGTCTACGTTCTCCCTGATATTAACTACTAATTGACTCCTTCCCGTCCCCTCAGCCCTCCCTCATTCCTCAGCTGTCAGCGCTGCATTAAGTCATCCACGCTCTTCGTAAACAGGCGGTCTTTGCTACCTGACCTATGACCCCACCGGGCACCCCTCTGCCCTTTAAGGGGCCAAACAAAGGAGGCCAGCACTCGAGGACGTCCCGGGACTCTCTGGCCCTCCGACTCTCAGCTCGTCCTCTGTCTCTGAACTTTTGTTACGACCTCTGTGTTGACTTAAAGCTGAGAGCGTTGTTTCAGCAGGAGGACATTAAATCACGAGCACCAAGACAGGACACAATCTTAGTTTCGGAAATGTAGATACTGAAAATAACCTTGAAAGAGATGCAAAATGCACATTTCTACAGGTTTCATCACGTTATGATTTTATATCTATCTGTTGGACAACAATAAAGTGTAATATCGCAAAGCCTTCAACAATATGATTACGATTTGATTAGTTTGAAGGGCCTGGGATTGATATGAAACTGTATCATATGCCCATTTACCAAAATCAGTTACCTTTTTACATCAACTCACAAAAAGCCACTTAAATATGATTTTAAAATATATTCACTGGGCTCTTTTAGTTATTTAAATAAAAAACAATCAATTATTTTCCCTGATCGAATGTTCAGGAAGGGCAGAAATGGTGAAACAGATGTGCCAAGGGGATTTCAAAATACAAGTTTTTCTTAAAGAGGATAGTATGTATTCAAATGTTTGCATCAATGATATTGAATAGTGCTCATTGAATAGATATATTGATCCATATAATAATAACAACGATATTTATGGTTAGATCATGATGGTTTCTTATTGTTGTTGTTTTGTTTTTTTTATTGCCAGGATTTATCCCCTGGGTAACATGTATATCTGAACACAATTTCGTCAAAATCCATAACATATTCAGTTTGAACTAAAGTGGTGGATCTACTGTCCGTGCAGCCAAATTAAAAGAAACATCAAACATATTAGCCAATTTGTCTAAAAAACACACCTTAGAGTTACAGTATGAGGGTTGCCTCTAGCAACACTTTCTCTATCAAAAACATACAAGGTGTAATATGGCTGGGTATAATGCCATTCTTACACAAAAGGAATCAAAACCCCATATTTACCCAAGTTCAAAAATATTAAATAACTTATTAAAGCAGCAACATAAGCTGTTTTAAAGATGAAATAAATAAATAAACAGTATTATAAAAAGCCATATCTCTTATGTATTTATCAAGAATATGGTTTAAAATGATTTTACGAGCAACTTCAAAATGAGATTCATTTCTAGCCACGGTAGAAGTTGGTCGAAAAAATGCAGCGGGTGTATAGAGACACGTCAAATTTAGGGGGGGGGGAGGGTTTGAGAGGAGACAGCAGGAGGATTATAAGAAGTTTAAACACAGAGAAATATTGATGAGGAGAGACTCAACTTTCTCCATCTATTCTCTTCTTCCAGGCTAACGAGCTCCAAGGGGGGAAATATAACAGTCAGCGTTTCAGCAGAGACTCAGGATTTAAACACAGAGAGCGAGATGATGTTTGACACCAGACACACAACTAGCACCTCGATAAATCTGCTGAGTCAGGTCAGACTTCAGCCTCCTGGTTTCCAGCTCTTGACAGTGTAAACTGTTTTATAGATGCAGTGGGAGCGCTACACACACAGAAAAGTTTAACGGTTTTGACTTCCTCACTCACCCGTCTGAGTCCTGGTAGTTCACATTCAGTCTCTTGGTGGAGCCCAGCAACTCTGAAAAACACAAAATCAGAAGCAGAATATTAAGATCTGAGCACCATGAGCATAGATGGATTATTGAACGGGCGCCAAGTCTCATTTAAAGAGACTTTAAATGACCATGTGTTACATAAAACAACCACAAAGAGATGCTAAACAACTGCAAAGAAACTTAAAAAGACTACAAAGAGACACAAAATGACATCAAAGAAACATAAAAAGACAACCAAGAGTCAAAAATATTACAAACAAAAGACTAAAGGGCTACAAAGACACACAACATGAATACAAATAGACAACAAATGACAACAAAGAGACACAAAATGACCACAAAAAGTCACAAAATGACCACAAAGAGAAACAAAATGACCTCAACGAAGCACAAATGACAACAAAGAGGCGACAAATAACAAAATAAAAAACACAAAAAGACTAGAAATAGGCACCAAATACTAAAAAAGATAGACAAAATGACTTCAGGGAGACACAAAGTGACCTTCAAAAGGCACAAAATAACAAAGAAGACAAAATAAGAACAAAGATTCAAAACTTTTCCCTGTAAAATTGTATATTTACATCTTCCGGCGCAGACTGAAAACTCATCTCTTTCGACTCCACTTCGAGCGATAGAATTACTAACAAATAACTGCTAACAGAGCACTTATATACTAATAAAGGACTGGCTTATCTAAAGCTAGTTGAGTAGCACTTGAAATGTTTTGGCTCTATGAAACCTGATGAACTTATATGATTCTGTTTTCTTCAAGTTTGTATCTTCCTGGTCGAATGCACTTATTGTAAGTCGCTTTGGATAAAAGCGTCAGCTAAATGCAATGTAATGTAATGTATAGTAATGTAATATTTACATACCGGCAGTAAGTGCTCAAGTCAAAAGAATTATCTCGGAAAAAGACCTATGATAATAGTATTGTATAATTATAGTTATACAGTTATAATCTTTGTTTCTTCAACAATATTGCAAGTTGATATCACACAATGTTTATTGACTGTCATAACCATGGGGAAAAGCTTTGTGACTGAATGTTTTAGTCTTGCACAGATTCAAATGAAGGCAGCCCCTCTTATTAACATTGCAATCACTGCTGGCTAACATTGCTAGGACCACTAACTAACAATGCAAGCATTGGCTGCTATCTACAATAACACTATGGCTTTGGAAGCCAGCAATGCTTGCTAACGTCGCAAGTACCGCTCTCTGATGGGGCTAGCACTGTTTGAATGTTACGGAAGGAGGTGCACTTGGACCAAAATGTAGAACCAAAAAAGCCATGGGAATTTCAAAAACAAAGGGGTATCACAGAAGTACCACCCACATGAATGTATAAAGACAACTGGATACAGACAACAAACTGATGAGAACAGGAGAAGCTCAGGACAGTGGATTGACTTCAACGTGACTGTTTCTAATATCCGCAGCTTCTCGTAGGGATGGAGTTGATATTTGATTAAACCTGTCAGTGGATTCTGATGATTTTTAGCTGTTAGTGTTTTATATCCAAGCTTTACTGCATTTCATGAACTCTTTCTGAATGCAGACTGTTGTGTGTTTGGAGGACTTCCAATTGTCAAGAAAGAAAACTATATTTAGTGAAGAGCTGCTGCTGCTGTACACTTCACCACAATGAGAGGAGAGAAGCTGCCCTTTCGTCTTCGTTTTGTTTATTGAGAAGCAAAAAAAAAAGTGAGGCGTCTCCTGCAGACGTGTAATCATATATCTGATACTTGCAGTGGTCAGACTTATTTTAGTTGCTAGATTTTTACAACAGATTCTCTTTCAGGCCAAGACTCGAGTCCAAAACGGATCCCAAAACCTCGCAAATCTGCAGACTGATGCAAAACCTCCTCCTCTTGCTTCATTTTTGTGGCGGCAAATTAAACTTGAAGCTCAAAAGTAAAAAAGAGAGCCAGTCCCTGCAAACCCTGGAGCTGAAACACTCCATAAACAGCACAAAATTAACTTTGATCAAATGTGCAGCAGATGATGAAGATGATGATGATGGGAGCCACAGCATTTCATATTCTGTTGGAGGTCAGCGAGAGTTTGATTTCAGATACGTTTTATTATGTAAGAGGAGAAGGAGAGCTGGCCTCTCGTCTCAGTACCTGGCCCAAGTCTCAGGACCTGCCCCTAGTCTAAGGACTTGCCTCTAGTCTCAGGACCTGTGCCTGGTCTCAGCACTGGACCCACTCCAGGTCTGAGGACCAGCCCCTAGTGGTCCGGCTCCTTGTCTCTTGACCGGCCGCTAGTATCAGGACCTGCCCCTAATCTGAGGACAGGCCCCTTGTCTCAGTACCGACCCCTAGTCCTAAGAATGGCCCTTGTCTCAGGCTAGGCCCCTAGTTTTTGGTCTGGTCCCCAGTCTCTGGTCCGGCCCTAGTATCAGGACCGGCCCCTAGTCTTAAGAATGGCCTTTGTCTCAGGCCAGGCCCCTAGGTTTAGGTTTGGTCCCTAGTCTCTGGTCCGGCTCCTAGTATCAGGACCAGCCCCTAGTCTGAGGGAGGCCCATGGTCTCGGGACTGGCTTCTTGTCTAGAAACTGACCCTTAGTCTCAGGTTTGGCCCAAAGACTCAGTTCTGGCCCTTAGGTCCATAACCCAACCCTAGTCGTACCGGCCACTCAGGACCTGCACCTAATCGAAGCGGCCCCCAGTCTCAAGACTAATCTTAATGTCTCAGGACAGACCCCCTAATTTCCGGACCTGCCACTAGTCATACTGCCTTCTAGTCTCAGGACCGGTGCTTTTTTCTCAGACACATAGTATAAGGATCGGCCCATGCTTTCATGACCAGTCCCTTGTCAGGAACAGGCCCCAAGTCCCAGAACCGGCCCTAAGCCTGGGGACCCGCCGTTAGTCTCAGGTTCGGCATTAAGTCTCAGGTTCGGCATTAAGTCTCAGAACAATCCCCTAGTCTCATTAACTGCCCTTAGTTGTCTCAGCACCTAGTCTCAGGACAGGCTCCCAATCTGAGGTTCGGATTAAACTCGGTCTCATTCTTGCTAAATGTTGTATACATCCAGGCGTTTCTCACACATGTCTCACCCTATACATACTATTTACACTATGGTATAAATAGTATGTATAGCTTTCAGTATGCAGTCTGAAATAATGAGACAGTTTTCATGTCTCTTTCCCGCTGCCTGTACGTTCAGTTTGCATGTAACTTTACATTTTTGTGCAAATGTATTCCCATTAATTATAAAATCCAGGTCAATATCAAAGCAGCGCTTCGAACCCCAAAGGGAGAGCCTGCTGTGTTTTTCCCCAAAATCTGCCAAACTTCAAATACTGTGTTGCTGCTGGTGGAGGCTAATGCTCCATCCAAAGAGTGTCTACAGGCTGTGTGACCTTTGACCTCCTGTGACCCCTGACAGTAAACACTGTGTGTTTACACCCAAGAAAACAGTTCAGTAAGAGAAATCTGGGCAACGTGTTAAAGTGTACTTAAGTGGTTAGTTTGAAGTAAAAAATCACACACACTTTTTACATTTTATTCATGTTTATAATTTAGCCATCATTTCTAAGATACTCATTCTGTTTTTTCTTTTGTGATGTTTCCCTTTGTTTATAAAAATAGCCTATACAATTACTTTATTGTTTCAATTACTTTATATAATGCAAGTTTAATTTATAATATTTCACAATGTATTGTTGATTAAATGATTAGTAGTATGATTATAACCAGCATCGCTAATATATTAACAGTCAATCTTATTTCAGTTTTGTTTGTTTTTTATGAGGAAAATGTCACGTTGTCAAGTTTCTTTCTGCTCCTATTTTAACTTATTTACCTTACATACCAATGAGATTATTTATATGGCTATTGACTTGTTATTATTATTATAATCATAAGAAAACCATCGATGTGAATTGCTGAATAATGATAAATGTTTATAGTTATTGTAGCCGTCTCACTTTCTAATCGGGTGTGCGGGTCTGTTTAATGCAGCAGGTCTGTTTGAAGGGAGTCGGAGGTCTCGGAGGGAAACATGGGCGCCAATCAGCAGCTCTCCTCCTCCTTCCTCCCCTGTCCTCCCTCTTCCTTCCCCATCCTCCCCCCCCGGCCTTCAGAGAGCCTGGCACAGGAACAGAGGAGGCAGAGGAAATGTTTGCCTGTCTCTTATCTGCAGACTGAATGAGGACGATGAAGAGGAGCTTCTCCACTGTCTTATCTGGATCTTTATCCCCCAGTCTGAGAGCTACAGCTGCTGCAAAAAAGTCTGGACTCAGAGTCTGGGAATTCAATGCTATTTAATATGCCCTATGGTCATTTCAAAGATGAGTTATAAGAGGTTATTCAATTGTACAACCTTGTAGGTCTAGATGCCAGACAACGAGAAATACTATCACAATCACTGATCACAATACCAGAAATGTAGAAGTCATTACCAATACCAGTGAATTCTTGATTTATATTCAATAACATGGTTATGAACTAACCAACGAATCCCATGTACTGTACTTCAACATTTACTTATTTATTAGTATCCTGGTTTTTGTTAGGTTAACAGTAAGCCGCTGTAACTGTCAATTAAATAGGTCATAATTCCCGTCCTAATATCTATCTATCTCTTTATAATCTCCTCTAAACAACTGGATTTATTCAAGTCTCTCACCGAAATTCATATTTTTTAAGATTATATTTGAACGCATCATGATGAATTCGTACTCATTTTCCTTAGCCAAATACACGTTTTACTGAATGAAGATTGAATGCAATCCACTGATTGTTGCAGTTCCTGTACTGAGTGTCTTTGTGTCTGCGATTCATATTTTGGGACGCGGTCATGTTGGTGAAGTTGGTGAGTCTCACTAACTTCACCAACATGTCCAACATGGCCATGGTTTTGCCAAGTCTTGCACCACCTGCTCTTCTTGCTGCTGCCATTCAACATGTTGAATCGCGGTGAGGGATGGTGTCTAAATAAATCTCTTTGATTGGCTGTTCAGCATCAGTGAATCAGCGCACGTGAACGCAGTTCAGAGTGTACGTGA